GGGAGAATTACTCGGTTGCGGTTTGTTTTCTTACTTTATTGTAAGGGATTTTTATTCTTGGTGTTGGGATTACACCAAGTAGTAGAAATCCTAACGGTTTGTGAAATCAAACGTTAGGTGGAAGAAATCCTGAGTTTTGTGAAATCAAAACTTCGGTGGTAAGATAAGAGGCTTGTGAAATCAAGTTCTCGAGTTGTATTCGGATTGTCAAACTCCGTTAAGTTTGACGGGTTAGTGAAGGCCTGGGCACGATTGCTTCGGGGACTGGATGTAGGCATTTAGGCCGAACCAGTATATATCGTGTGTGCATTGCTCTTATCCTTCACTTTACTTTGTTTGTGGTGCATTGATTTTATTGAATATTCGTGAAGAACGTTTCCGCGCAAAAAAACTGGTCTTTTGGGCAACACCTCTATTCACCCCTCCCCCTCTAGAGGTGTGCGAGGCGTCTAACATTGCAAACATTCATGATGATCTAAAAAAGAGTTAGCACACTTTTTGAAGCAAGATGGGTATTGATGCAAATCGTGAGGGGGAGTAAATTACAAAAATGATGAAGCTCCAGCGAATTCAAATGGGAAGCACATGCATGGATCGTAATGGTAGATTTTATTTTTGTTTTGCGCTTGTGATGGTTGTATGCTCTTAAAAGAACTTGGTATTACTTTTCTTTTTTACCCTAAATAAATTTGGTATATTTTGTGTCAAAAAGGGGGAGAAAAGGCTTAGTTCTTAAAAGATGCTTTAATCTTTTATACGCATGGTGCACGATGTATTTTGCCAAAAAATTGCCAAAGGGGGAGATTGTTAGTTCCATAGTGTTGGCTAATCTTTGGCAAAATAGAATCACATATTTGTTAGGTGTTTTATTAGGTAGAAACCTCTATTTTTTAGAAGAAATTTATTTTATTTAGACTTCTAGAGTTGCTGCATTTTTCAAGATTGACACAAAAGATGATACAACAGATTTCGTGTCAATGAAAACCGTGAAATTTAATGGCCTACTAAAGCAATAAACATAATGAAATAGAAACAAAACCAATAAAATATAAATGTTTCATTAGAACACATCTATAAATTCATACTCCGTATATAAAAGTAATTACATCCAGCCTGTAAATGATCGGTTCATTGGTTAGAGAAAATCATCACGTTTGATAAACTAGCTTTTTACCCTTTCAATAAATATAAAAATCCTGCAAGGTGTGACTAAAGCACCTAGAGCCACTCATCTATATTAATTGTATGATTTGATTCTATGTCTATGAAAACGATGAATTTTAATGGGATACTAAAGCAATAAACATAATTCAATAGAAATAAACCAGTAAAATATACTCTCTTTGTCCCTCATAGATCTTCTCAATAGCCTTTTTTCTTTGTCCACAATAGATCTTCTCATTTCATTTTTTAACAATTAAAATACCACAACTACCCCTACTTACTTTATTTATTACACCTCACCCACCTCATTTAATGAACTCCACCCATTTTTCATTAAGGGTATTATGGTAAAGTTTCACATTTTTTCAACTCTCCTTAAAAACCACCAAAAGTCAAAATGAGAACATCTTAGGAGGACGGAGAGAGTATATAACACAAAAACGAAAATTACTATTAAATATAACACAAAACCAGTAATATATATATATAGAGTAAGTCTAAAATGACACCAGTGCTACTAGTGTCATTTGCTTACACCAGTTTGTTTGGGGTACCTACGGTGTCCCGTTTGTGAAAATGACGGTTCCTACTGTTAAATATATTCTATATTTAATGTAAATATATTGTTTCCTATTATTATCTTCTACCTTGTATAGGAATAGGAATACCATGTACATATAAACACATGTACTCCCACATATTCAATCAAGGATATTAATCTTTCTACATGGTATCGGAGTCTAAAATACCAAAACCCTAATTCTCTCCCCTCCTCTCTCCCTCTCTCGGCCCGAGCCGCCGCCCCACCAGCAGCAGCCCCTCCTGCCGCCGTCTCCTCCTCTCGCCGGCAGTCATCCCTCCCCTCTCTCACAACCATGGCCGAAGCCAGTGAAGTCACCTCTCAAAATACCTCACCCAAGCCTCCTCATCTTGCTTTCACAACAGTATCTAATGTGAAACTCCATGTTCCCGTTCAACTCAGTCTCTCTCAACCCAACTACAAAAAGTGGAGCCGACTTTTTCTCCTTCTTGTTCGGCGCTTCAACCTCCAGGGTTACCTCGCTGGCTCCGTCGTCCCCCTCTCCGATGACGACGATGAATGGTTCCAACTCGACGCTCTCCTCCAGGGTTGGATTCTCTCTACCATCACCGATGAGGTCTCAAATCTGGTAATCTCCTCTGTTTCTACTGCCTCTGCTCTCTGGAAAGTCGTTCACGACTTATTCCACGACAACAAACATGCCAGGGCCATGCAACTGGAGCATGAATTTCGCACGACCATCAAAGGCAACTCCACCATGGCGGCTTATTGCCAACAATTGCAGAATCTGGACGACTGGCTGGACGATGTCGATGCACCAGTCTCCCAGCACCAACTTGTTCTCCAAATACTTCGTGGTCTTCCTGCAGATCTTCAGGCACAAACATCTTTCATGCAATTTCAGAATCCCATGCCCACTTTTCTGCAGGTCCGTTCTGCACTCATGCTTCTGGATCGACAACGGACGAGTCCCACCGACTCGGGCGACACGGCTCTTCTCACGAACCGTGCCGGTGGCGGCTACCACGGCGGTACTCCCGGCGGCTATGGCGGACAGCATGGCGGCACGGGCTATGGTGACGGCAATCCCGGTCAACGTGGAGGCTACGGACGAGGCTAAGGCCGTGGCGGTGGAAATCGGGGGCGAGGTCGCGGACGTCAAAACGGCTCACGACCGCGGCAATCCTACGACGGCAACAATACCTGGAACTCACCAAACCCTAACCCTAACCCGGGCCTCCTAGGTCCCCGCCCCAACTACCCCCACCCCGCCCACGCCTACTACACCCTAGCCCCCTCCCCTATCCAGCCCCACACCCCAAACCCTTACCCGACAGCCCCCTCCT